ATGAATCGCGTGCTGGACGCCCTGAAAAGATTGAAACGGACGAATTGCAAGCACTGCTGGATATAAACTCTGCGCAAACTGAAAAGGAGCTTGCAGAACAGCTTGGCGTTACGCAGCAAGCCATTTTTTCGTTTGTTTTTAAATAAAGATTGAATTTTACAAAAAAAAGCTCAGAACTTTTTTGTACACCTAATATAATTAATCTTTCCAAAATAATTGTTTTAAATTATAATTAAAATACGTTTTCCTTTGTACGTGTTCACTTTTATTTAAAATCGTTAGTTAATTTGAAATAAACTATCGCGATATTAATCGAAAAATTCGTGAAATAAAACAAAATTTATGAAATAAAAATTTTGTTCTAGAATTTTTGATTAACTTTATTTCTCATTACATTGCAACGTTAAAATTTAATTATATTTTCAATTTTATGTTTAATGTAATTTCTGCTCTCTCTCTCTCTCTCTCTCTCTCTCTCTCTCTCTCTCTCTCTCATCTCTATCTTTCGCTCGCTTACTTTAAAGAATCACGAAAAAGTTATCAATATTCGGGATTATTTCAAATTTTCAAAAAAAGGTAAAGGAAAAAAGATCAAACCTCTTCCGCTAATTTTTTCACTCCATGTTTGTCAATAATTATGTCCAATCCTGTTTTTTTGGCTATAGATTCTTCCATTGAACACGGAATAGTAGAAAAGGTAGATGCAGCCATAACGTTAAGTTATATTGAACCTACAGTTCTCAAGTATTGACAGTGACTATTTCGACCGTAATTACCTTTTACAGCCGATAGAAAATAAACATGACATAATAACAATAAGATGCTTGATTATACGAAGAAAATCCTTCATTCGTGATATCCCGTGTTACATGACTTGTTTAGTTATTTTGAAAAATTATGCTAAGTTATTCTTTTGCGATTACTTTTTTACATACTTTAAAACATTTTTTACCTTCCGTTTCTTTTTTTTCCAATGCCTAAAATTTTATATACAAGAACATAAAAAGAGCAGACTTGTTTTCTTTTTACATATAAGAGTTATCCACTTAGATCGAATATCTATTTCGATTATTTTTGTTAATACGAAAAAATGTTTCAAATGGAAGTGAAACAATTTCGAGAGGTACGTATCATCACGTTGCAAAAAAAAAAGGATTATCGAAAAAGTTAAACTTGTACGTTATAAAAAAAAAATAATCTTAAATATTACTTTTAATTTAGATAATGTAATATATATTACGGAAGTGTTTTATATTTAAAAAAGATAAAATATTTTGTTATTAAAATTAAACTTTAATTATAATAATTATACAAGTACATAGAAATAGGAAAATTTTGATAAATGCATTTTTTTAATATTTGCTACGATCCATAAGCAAAACTAAAATTGAAATTTTTTATAAATATATACGTATATAATGTCAGTGTTTAATATTGTAGAATTAACTTCCTAAAAATAGAATAGATTAAATTGAAATGTCTTCTATCATTTTGTAATTTTTGCAATAATTAATTACGAAATTAATTACTAAAAATCGCTGAATTGATTAATAATTTTTTACTTAAATACTATCAATTTTACAGAAAAACAGCGAGAGATAAAAATTTATTTTCTCATAAAGTTCTGAGAATTTTTTAATATCGTATTTTCTCATGTTGATAAAAATCTAAAAATAAGAAAATGCAATACTAAAAATTGATGAAAAATTCTGAAAAAATTCTGAGTTTTATGAAAAGAAAATTAATAATTTTTGTCTCTTGTAGTTTTTCTGTAAAGTTGACAGTATTTGAATGAAAAAATGATTAAAGACCAATATTCTTCTCAATTATTGTAAAAATTGCAAAATGGTAGAAGACTCAGTTAATCCGTTCTACAAACAGCTTTGTAGAACTGTCAAAACTTGATCAGACACCCTGTATAATTATTATGTTTATAATTAGTAATGATATCCCAACATCTAAAAACAAGACATAAAAGACATTCTCAAAGACGCCTAAAAGACATATTATATCCAGAATATAATCTTATGTCTCGATTTTGAACTTTTTTGTTCTCTGGAATATTATTATTGCAATATATATAACTAATAATGATATATTACACAATATAATGATTAGTTGTAATTATGCATTTAATTGAACATTTAATTATATATTAGTTATGTATATTACAACTACTTATTTAAACATTACAAATACTTTTGTTTATATCAGAATGCTAAAAGAATCTTTTCTTTTAAAGAAAATCAATCTTAATTGAAAAATATAAAATCAAAATCGATCGTGTTAGGTTTCCTTTCCATTATTTTGAAAATGTGTTTATGAATAAAACGTGAGAAAACGTATTAAAATATCTAAAGTACAATATAAATCTTGTCACAATATAAATCGTTCTAATAGCTCTCAGTGCGGACCTTGCATAATACATTCTTCTTCAATTGCCCAATATTTTGTTGTAAATGGTCCCACAAAAAGTTGTCAATCAGACACGCACAATCGAAACCTGACCACTCTGATTTGGGTATTCTTTTCAAATTTGGCAACATTTCCATCACCGTTTTACGCAAATATCTTATTATCAAAAGTGAACAACAGCGTATCTCTACTTCTTCTCTGCACCCATGTGTAATGAATTCTACAAGGAAATGTGTTTTACTATATATAATATATACAATAAATCTTCCACATAGAAATTGGCGAAAAAAAGTGTATCCCTTAACAAAAAGTATCTCTTACATGTAAACATTTCTATAAAATATCATAATTAATAGTAAGAGAAATATAATAGGTAAATATTGAAAACGACGGACTCACCTCCATTGACTTCGTTCTTGACATACAGTATATTGAGGGGCTCCGCCCCTCTCTCTACACCCAACTTAACCCTTATCTGATTGTGGACATAGGTTCGCGTAAAAAGTTACACGTCCCGGAGGAGAGATGGGATTATTTGTGATAATTATAATTTAAAATATACAATTAAATATACATTTATATTGTCAACTTTATTTGTTAATGACTTGAACGAATAACGAGCGCGGGCTAAAATCTTCCGAGAATCACGCAGGATCTTAACAATATATGTCATTAGAGATGAGGGTTCGTTGTTTCCAATATTTACTTATAATATAATATGATAAATAGAAAAAAAGAGTATGATAATATAACATTTAAAGTATTAAAAACAAATAAATTACACATTGAGTGAAATTAATAATCTGATTAAATCTTGCTTTTTATATAAATAAGAAGAGCGATAGAGGCAGATAAGAAAAACAATATATTTCACAGTAAATAATTACTTGCATTCTGTAATGTAATTCAAATGATCGCAATATATGTATACATATGATATTTCTTAGGCATTAAATTCGTTTAAAAGATATAATTTTTATATTTATATTAAATAAAATATTCAGAGAATGGAATAAATTAAAAAATCTTCAATAAAAACCGGAGAATAAATTATTGATAAAAAGTGATAAATGCTTTACCCTCTTTTTCGAGTAGGTCAAAGAATTCTTTATTGTAAACAAGAACATTGAAATGATGGAAAACCTGAAAAATACGATAATCAGCAAATATCGTAGAATGCTTTGTTCCTTTCATTTCAATCCAAAGTTCATGTTCTTTGTCAAAGTAAGCCCATATATCGCTAATTAATGTCCGAGCCTTAGTGTATAAACAAACTGAAAGGAAGTTTATGGAAATCTCATTATATATATATAATTATAATGCTCTCTAAAACCTTTAGAATGAATTTCATACTAAACAGTGAAATCTCACTCTTGAAGATTGAAAATTGGGTTATTTTTTTGAAATAGCTCAATTTTCACTCTTTCAAAATGAGAGCCCAAATAATTTAGAGAGTGTATATATTACATCACAAATGTAATATATTACTTTATAATTGATCATAGAAATAATTGACAGCATTATAATTATATAACATTCATCAATCAATAAAAACAATTTGTATTTGGGAGATTTTATAGAGAAATTTGAGGTTGCGGAAAAAAAACAGAAATAGTAAGATATAAGCGATGAACAAATCAACATTTTGGATTTGCTATACTGCTTACGTTATTGCTTTATGTTCTCTATTTGGCCGATTACTTCGCTTACTACTTACATCTTACTGTTTTTCTGTGTTTATATATTATATGGGTTTTTATTCCGTATAAACTTCGTATTCTAATATAATAATTAAAATGACTTATGACACATAAAAGCATTCTTGTTGATCTCTATCTAAAAATTTTTTGCTTATCATAATATTATATATGCCCCTTCGAATCAAACAAGATCTCCTGTGGTATTTTTTCGTATCATCAAAAACAACGGAGATATATATCTTAAACGATTAAATTACAGGAAATATCCTGTATAATATCGCATATTCTTCATCATATTAACCGATAATAAATACCTTCTCGTTCGCAATATTTTATTACGTCGTGATATGACGGGAATACATGGTGAATATTGATCATCAACTCAATGGAATTTCCTTTACATAATTTGATACAATTTGCGAAAGAACCTATAACAAAACGAAATCTTATCAATCAGTTAAATATGTAAGGTTTATCAATTAAAACTGTATATTTTTCCAATATAACTTATCCAAAACCTTTTCTTTATTTTGAATCATCTTTTATCCTAGCGAAAATAAAAGTTAAAGCGTTTAAGTTAAATAAGGGAAAAAAACAGAAGTGTAAATGAACATCCAGCAAACGCTAAGTAGCAATTGTATAATTGTTAGTTGTAATTTCTCATTCAACAATATAACTGTAATATAACATATATATTATATTAGAGTTATCTTGTTAAGTAGGAAATTAACAATTTAACAATTAACAATTATGTAACTGTTACTTAATGTTTGTTAAGAAGTTTCTAGGAAATAAAAAGTAAAAAATTTCTAACGACTGCATAACGAGTTACAGAATAAAGGCCTTGCAGCGAAATTTTTTTAACCCGTTATACAGTCGTTATGAGCACATAACAATTGCATAACAAGTTATAGAATTTCGTTACTGAACGAGTTATATACATATGTCAAATGAACGAAAATAGTACAAATTTGTGTATGTAAAAATATATATGTAAAAATAGGAAAAAATATATATATGAAATATTGTTAGGTAATGATTTGTACCATCATAGCGGTCCAACAAAACTTTTCCAACTTCTTGCAAAATTGTTAATCTTCGAAGTATGTGTGGCATGATAATGTTATCATCACCCTTAAAAATCTGGACCATTTCACCCACTTTTAGCTTTGTATAAAATTTAGGATCCCACATTGGTTTTCCATCCTAACGCAAAAAGATTAATTACATATTAAATCTAATTAAAAATAAAAAATTACAGCAGTGTTTAGATAGATTTAAAAAATTAATATAAGTTATATATTTAACAAGATAATGGAGATAGGGTTTATCACAGACCTTTACATTGTATTATAAATCCGTTATATTAATTTATGATTTTCAATAAAATTAAAACGGAACGATTTACGGAATAAGATTCATACGATTGTTACATTTTGACTTTACACCTATTTTGCATGTTTGCATAAAAATACACATATACACACAAATAAATATATATAAATTATTAATTTATTAAAAAATTTAATTATTAATCATATTGGGTGTACAAATAAATTCGCATTTCTAATAAATGCCATTAGCAGTACTGCGTGCATGTAATTTAAGATGGTAATATATCTAAGTATTAGATACCTAAGTAAGCTTTAAGATTTAGTATATGACATTAGAGTGTAGTGTAAACAACAAATTTTCTCATTGAAAATGTAAAATTTTGTGCCAACAAGACGACATTTGCAACAAATTTTGTTGTATTATTTTATTTTAAAGAAAACTGCTGCTGAAAGTCACCGTTTGCTTCTACAACTATATACTTTATATTATAGATATTACAATATTTAAAAATAGTAATAGAAGTAATGGTACTGAACACATTGTATTTTTTTAATGGTTTATTTTATCAAACAAATGAAGGAAAAGACGATAAAATTTAAATACGCGTATTGAAATATCAATAATTTTGTGTACTAATATAAATTTAAATATGCTGTGAGAAAATAGAACTAATTTGTTCTAATTAACGACATGAATGGTTACTTAGTACCTCATAAATCAATGCGCATTATGATTAGAATTGAAAGAATTACGTAAGTACTGTATTTCTCTACATATAATGTATATCTACATAATATCTACATATATTTAACCTATATAATGAAATATTTGAATAAATTTTTTATTTATAATCTTTAATATTTGTAATGCCAATTAAAAATGTTAACATTAAGTGATTGGTTCATTTCTCCTTTCGATCATATGACAATATAAATGAATTTATCAAACTTCTCAGATTTAAATATTATTCATTAATTAATAGTTCTTACTTTCATATATTTATAAGTTATATATATTTTCTATATAATATGTATATAAATATATAAAAAATAAAATACAAATATATAAAAGATAACAGATTAGTGAGTTGAGGATTATTCCTTGAAACAGGGATTTAGAACGGTTCGCTGAGAACATTCCCAAACCGAAAGGCGCTGTACCAAATTTCGGTTTACCAAGATGGAAGATGATGCCTCTGGAGCATAAAATACCGATAGTACCTGGACCAAAGGGCGTTTATAGCTTTACGCGACGCAAAGTGGGGAAAAAATTATGGGAACCGAAATTAGAATTTAATTTGAGCGATCCTTATTGCCATGAAACCAAATTCCTTTATGAACCCTTGCACGACAAGCATCTGCTCAAGTTCTTTTCTAGACCGATTAATCAGAAATGTCTACTGAAAGCCGATCTAATCACAGATAACATGGACGTGAAGTGTTCGCTGCACGATTATAACGAGTACAGGAAATATCTAAGGCAGATGTACGCTGATAGTATCAAGAGGGAGCTGAGAAAAAGAAACTGTCTCTTTGTCGAGAGGAAAGCCCTACGCTTTGCCGAAGACCAGGCACGCAAGGAAGCGGAAAGGTATAATTCGTAATGGTTACGTGGCAAGAAAAATATCATTTTTAATGTGAAAAGTTTCTGCTAGCCAAAAAAAAAATATCTCATCATCCTAAATACTTTTCGTGTTTCGTAATATCCTTTTCTTGTATATATAGAATAGAATTTATTACACTTCAAGTACACACAGCTAAGAAGAGGATTTGGTTTACATATATAGGGTATTTGATAAGTAATGATAAAATTCTCGCATAGGGCGGATTAAACTGAGTGGAAAAGTCCTCTACCATTTTACAATTTTCGCAATAGTTAACAAGATACTATATAAATTATTAAAAATCGCCGAATATTGGTTTCCAATAATTTTTTATTTAAGTACTAACAACTTTACAGAATAACTGTAAGAGATAAAAATTGTTTATTTTCTTCTCATGAAATTGGACAAGGAAAGATTCAGTACCAATTTCATGACGCGAAACAGGTCGGTATTCATAGTCAATTCTTGCATTTAAGATTGTTTTCCTTTTTATGAACAGTTCATAGACGGAGAGAACAGAGATTAAGAAAGAGATACTGGGCTAATTTCCAGTGTGTGTGTGTGTGTGTGTGTGTGTGTGTGTGTGTGTGTGTGCGCGCGTGTGTGTGTGTGTGTGCGCGTGTGCGTGTGTGTGTGTGTGTGCGCGTGTGCGTGTGTGTGTGTGTGTGTGTGTGTGAATGACTGCGTTCAGCGGACTCAATAGTTGAGTTCGCTGAACGCAGTCATTGATGCATTCTTCTAGATTTAAAATGCGGATGATGAACGCAGCTAATGAGAGAGATGTAACAGACCAGAGACCTAACGCAAAAGGAAGATGACAAAGACGTATACATATTATTAACAAGATTTCTGTTTTATAAATTCAGATTGAAAGAAAAAGAGAAGTTCATTACTGAGAGACAGCATCGCGTGCAGCAACGGTTACTACAAGAGAAACTGAGAACTCGAAAACTGGAGGAGCAAGCATACAATACGACGCGAAGATTGAAATTGTTAAAGCTTGTTAGGCAAGAAGAACGAAGACTGATAAATATTAAGCGTGATGAGCGGATCGAACAGATTCGACAAAAATACAATATTGCAGCTCGACGTAAAATAATCGATACGTTAATGGATTGGAAGAAAACAGACAAGGCACTAAAGAAAGGCAGGGAGAAACGACTAATGAATATCGCACAACAGAAGCAGAGAGACATGGAAGAAAAGTACATACATTATTAAATATATTTAATAATGGAAAACAAAATTTACCATGCAATATTTTTGATAAATAAAGAATGATTCAGTTTAGAAATTTTTGTAAACAAGTAGAGTAATCTGAAAAGGAAAAATCTGCAAGATTCTTTTTCTTAAGAAAAGCGAATTTCAGATGGACAAAAAAGCGGCAGTTCCAGGAAAAAGATATTGCGAAACAAAAAATGTTATTGCAACGTATAGATGTTCGTCGTCAAAAATTCATAGAAGATTATAACAACAAAATAAATAAAGAAACAGCAAAAATGAAAAGTAATGTTATAAGAAAAGATTAAAGAAATAATATTACGTTTTCAATTATAAAGTTCTCGATTATAAATTATGCAATCATCGTTTAAATAAATTGAAAGATTTAATTTTATTATAATGTAATTTTGCGCAGGACTTTTGGACGATGCGAAACTCTTCACAAACTGTTACATAAAGAGGCGCTTATCAGATGGAAGGAAACTCATTTGCTGCAAGAAATACTTAAAAAATAATATAGTAAATGCAAATTAAAATACTCTAAAAAACAGAAAAAAACACATTTTATATTAAACGTTGTTTCTATTGTCATACGAAAGAAAGCTGAAGTAAAATGTAACTCACAAAATTCAGCGAATCTTCCGTCGAAATTCATGAAACGGACGAAACAAAAAATATGAAAAGTTTATATTTTTAAACAATACAAAAGATAAATATAGTAGCCTAATGAGGGTCAGCAATGATAAACGCAATTATTTAATAAACAATCAGATATTGGACTGATGTCTTCTTTATTTTGAACGTTTCGACTCTCTTTGGAATCCTCTCCTCAGCAAAAATGATTTTAAATTATACTTGTATCATTTTTGCTGAAGAGGACTCCAAAAGGAGTCAAAACGTTCAAAAAAAAGAAGACATCAATCCAATATCTGATTATTAATTGTTCACTAAATAATTGTGCCGTTACTCTATATTTATCTTTTTGTATTGTTTAAAATTCAAGAGTCTTAATATAATTCTTGTTATTATTTATATTTTTAATTTACGTTGTACATTTTCATGCTTCAAACTTTAATAAAAATTCTGATAACAGATAGGTACAAATAAACATAGAATATAACGTAAAAATCGAAACAATTACAAGACAAGTGATACTAATAATAAAGTAAAACAATAGTTAGCAGAGTTATTAAGTAGAAAACAAAATTAGAAAATGTCAGTCGATAAAAATTGTGTCAGCAAAAATAAAAGCAATTAATGTTATGTTGTTAACGAAGTTAATATTAGAAGACAAGTGTCACATCGTAAAGAATAATAAAGATTAATGTTAATGTTAAATTATATTAATAATATTCAAAAATGTATTTGAACAAGTGAAATATAACAGTGTCACATAAAACTAAATAAAATGTGCTCACATCAATAGCCTTTTTAATAGCAACGCACAGTGCCATGTATCCGGTAAATCCATCAACTTTCCATTCCTTCATATTCTTTCGGGTCCAAAGTGCAAAATTCAATGTATTCAATACGAACAGCCAATCCGCCGCTCTTTTGTCGTCCTTATCGGGATGAAATTCGGTCGATAATCGTACGTAACTACGTGCGACTTCGTTAAAATTTTCATTAAGGTGATTGCGAGACGCATAAGCTACTATCTAAATAAACCAATTAAAATCTCATTTATAGTAACGTACTTGTTCTACAATTGCAAAAGTCTGATGGGAGTTAAATTTACACAAAACTAAATAACTTACACTAAATATCGATAACATTTATACAAAATTCTGTAACTTATATCGAAATATTTACAGTTAAATTTTCAAAGAAAGAATGAAAAAAGAAAAACCTCTGTTGCTAATTCTTTTATTTTCTTCGTGTTGATGGACACGGCTTTCGATAAAGAAGCGACATATTGCAGTGTATCAATGTCGTGCTTATTCTTTGACTGCATAATGTTGCTCCTTTTTGCTTCTTACTTCGAACTACTGCGATTATCTCGATCGCGAATATACTTCGACAAGTCTCACGATTGTGGGTCACCTCAACAAGCATCACGATCGTAATTGAAAAATAAACATGATACGAAAATACAAATTTTCTATTATTTGTATTATTTAGAGAACAACCGAGCGCTAAATTTTTATAATATTTATCTAATAATTTTATATTTAAGAAAATTGTGGATTAGAGATGGGATGCCGTATGGCTCCGTGCAAGAGCAACAATCTTATAATCGACGGATTTAGAATTTGATTTCTCACATAGATTTTTAATTTGTAATTTGTAAATTATGTAAAGGAGATTTTATTGACCTACCTAAGAATTGTGTGTATAGTTGACAAACACATCTACGGTCATTGCGCTAAGCTGGGGATTACAATAAACAGTAAATAATTCTCATAAACAAATTATAAGGAAACGTCTCACCTTTAGGAAACAGAAAAATTAAGATTTGATTATTCTCTAAAACCGTAATGACATTACAGGTTGCCGGTTGTAATAGCCAATTGATGGTTCTATTTTAGCGAGTTTTATGCAGTGAGCACGGACTAGTTATCATAATTGGCTAAAAGACTCGTTAATCGGAAACCGCAATCGATAATCTATAGTGTAATTACAATTTAAAGCCATGTGTCACACACATTGGAGATTGAAGATTGCGAATTAAAGATTAGAATTCAACTAATCAGATAATTTTAATTGTAATCCGTTTTGTTCTAATTAGCTAAATTCTAATCCAATTCGCAATTCTTAATCTCCAATGTATAGTATGATACCGGCATATGGAAGACCAGCAGATCTATGTACTCTTAACAAAAGGGACTGTGCCAATTTTATAGGGTAACTTGGGTCCCGGATGAACAACTTTGAGACATGCCTAAAATTTTAAAGTATCAAGAGAGAATCAAAAATTCCATAAGCCAACTTTATAGGAGAGGTTTCCTAAGTGCTAGAACTATCCAAAGTTTGCTATTATGACCATGTACCACTAGTCTTATCCAATTTCTCTGCGTCCAAGGCATCTTCCCATAATGACGGCGATAACGGATTGTACCAAAGACATTGAAGTAGTATTTAAAATGAATTTGGTACAGTTAATCCGGTTGACAGTTATATGGTATCTGAGATATGTCCAACACAAACATCCATATGCCAGCAAGAACAGTTAATATTTTTTTATTTTTAGAGAGTTCTGATGAGGAAGCTGAAGAGAGACAAGGTCCATATATTGACCACATTTCAATTCAGCAATTAAAACCTTTTGTTTCATATTTTGAGTGTAACTCTCTCTCCCCTCTTCATCGATTAATATATATCATTTATAATTATTCATTTGGAGTCCAAAAAGGTTTTAGTTATCTTCTTTCGTGCAATATTGGACATATTAGATGATAAAAAAAATTATTAGAATAAAAAATTAGATGATTCGAGAAATCGAATAAAACCAATCCTACATGATACACAATACATGTCATAATAGCGAACTTTGAACAGCTGTAGCACTCAAGAGACTCATTTTACAAAGTTGTGTATATGGAACTTTTTAATCCTTTTTTATGCTCTACAATCCTAGCTAGGTCTCAATATTGTTCAGCCGAGGTCCAAACTGAACATAGTCCTTTTGTTGTCATAACGCTGTTGCACTCTTTTACCATGGTAAAAAAAATTGCGCAGCGGCGTTATAATAATAACAAAATTTTTACAGAATAGATCTGTAGAACTTGGATTGTAACGCTATTGAATGGATTAGTTTTGACAAAAGTAGTTTTAAATTTTTATTATAAATATTTCTGACACTAGACCAACTGTAGTGTTGTGAACAGATCGTAGAAATAACAGCTTTGAGAGAAGCTAAATCAAGTATCGCCATTATTTTCGATCCAAAATAGGATCTATTGTTTGACCTCCGCAAATTTGACCCCATCCGATTAAACGCCAATGCTTTTCCACTCGTCTGGATAACGCGATCTTCTCATCGATCTCAGTGCACACTGGATTCGTCAAGCTGATCTTTGCCAAATCAGCACGAGTAGCCAGTACTCTGCCACCGGTGCTTAACGATCCAATGTTAACAAGCAGTACCTCTCCTCTTGATAGTTTCGGTACCTATCAGCGAGATATTTACAAAAATATTAAATAAATTAAGATCTTTTTTATTACAGAATAAAAGCATAATTTTAGGGAAAAACAAAACTAGATATAAAAAATATAAATAATAAAGAAGAATGTTAAAAAAGTATCGATTTTCATTCCCAAGATACACCTTGATAGACTTGATACATCTGAACAGATCTTGAAAAATCATTGTTTGGGTCCTCAAAAAACAGGAAATAATAATCATTTGTTTGGGAAGCGATAACATTGCTAGAATTGCTTAAATATAGTAAAAAATGATATCATTTGCATATATGGTTAATAAGTAAAAAATGATGATTTTAACCAGAAACATAAGTATGTACATTCTAAAGATCACGAACTATTTTAGTACCATTCAAGATACATCACGTGGAGGTATAGTCCGCCTAGTATCTCTTGACAGAGAATAGAACTTCATTTTTTACCCTTTCACGGGTATTATCTTCAAAGATACCAGAAAGTTTGCGGATTATCGCCGTGTTTTCATCCATTTGCCAATGTTTCGTGAACTTGCATTCTAGGCAATCGCATTTTATAAAATATTTTATATATTTACTGGTTGATAAAACAAAAAAAGAAATTGCTATTATTGGGCACACCTCTGGGTGGAAGACAGGTCAACGTGTTGTAGAATGTTGTTCTCACATTGCAACACTCGTGTGATTTTTTTTTTTGTAAAGCTCGATTCAAGAGAACATCTCGATTCCTGCTTCATTCTTCGATGGTTATTTTGAGCAAAAGTCATTATTAGTATCATTAGATTCTGATGAAAATGCACATAAAATGTAAATTCACACTTTATTTGTATCACGCACGCACACATGATATAGAGAAGGTTTGGAATCGCTAAATACTACAGGAGTGACGAACTGTGGAATTCTGATTTCTGTCAAGGAATACTAAGCAGACTGTGCCCCTATGTGATACATCCTGGATAATGCTAAAATTCGCATCTTTATATGAAGAATTACATTTCTAGTTAAATATTTACATTTCTAGTTAAAATCATAGTTTTTGACTTATTAACTGTATGTAAATAATGTCATTTTTTTACTATATTTAAGCAATTCCGGCAATGTTTCCATCCCTTTTCGGATTATGTTATTTCCGGTTTTCTGAGAACCCAAACAATAATTTTTCAAGATTTATTCAGGTGTATCTTGGGGGCGAAATTCGATACTTTTTTGACACCCTCCTTCATAGAGTGTCTCTGCATATAGTGCCAAAACTACAGCTAGTATTTCAGTTTTGTTTCAACGAGACGAGACTATCTAGGTCTCGGACTCGGTTTCGTGATTTCGAAATTCTCGATATCGTCTTGGTCTCGAGTCGAGAGTGTCGTTGGTTTCAAATCAAAAATTGTTTTTATGAATTTTATTTTTACGGATAAATGAATAAACATGCATCCAGATAATTGAGCTAAACCTCGAGCCGGGAGCATTTCGATAAACATTTGTTATTCGTCGAAATACTCGCGGCTCGAGGTTCAGCTTAATAATCTGGACGCACTTTAAAACAATTGATATTCGCGGACAATTTCTTCATTCAGTAAAAGGTTTGATGACTGGCCTAAATTCTCTTCTTGCCGAAACTCTCGATGTAATAATCTCAGTCTCGATCTCGATTTGAAAACAGAATTTTGGTCTCGTCTCGACAGACCCAGAACAACAAGACGAGACCGAGACCAGTTTCGGTATCGTCCGATACTAGCTATAGTGGGTTCAGCACATGAAAATAAGTAAAAAATATCTAATAAACATAAGTCCGATTCTGAACGATTTCGGAGTTACGGGATATTAAAGTAAGAAAACATAAATTCTAATTGTAATTGTAATTGTTGTTTAATGTTTGTTGTTCTGAAGCCTGAATCTTTTTCTGAATCTAAATCTTTATTAATCAGTATGTGTATCGAAGGTTGCACGTGCAACGAGAATTCACTATCAATGTATGGACTGGAATCCTTGCTGATCCATAATTGTCTCCTTATTTGATAGAAGACGCTTACTTTCACTTTTTGAGCGATAACCTACTAGTGCTGTTGGAGGATGTAGATCTCCTAACTCGAAGAAACATGTAGTTCATGCACGACAGGGCACCATCTCACTTTACACTTCGTGTGCGAACATTTCTCCATGATCACTGTCCTCATTGAATTGAAAGAAGCCAGGATGCTTCTATTAAATGGCCAGCAAAAAGTCCCGACCTCACTTCACTGGATTTTTTTTTTCTTTGGATGAAAGATCTAATCTACCAGAATGAGATTCAGAATGCAGAACAATTATGGCACTAATACTTAACGCTGCCAATATCTCCGCAAAACTCCAAATATTATATGTTGTCAAGTCCGAAACAATTTATTAATTCATGCTAGAAAGCATGTCGACGGAGGAATTTTTGAACATTTTTTTGTAAAGCATTAAATAGAATAACGAACATTAAACAACTTTACTACTTATGTTTTCTTACTTCAATATCCCGTAACTCTGAAATCAAATCGTTCGGAATCGGACATATGTTTATTAAACATTTTCGACTTATTTCCATGTGCTAAAGCCGCTGTAGCAGTTTCGATACTATATATACAGAAACATTCTGTCTTTTTTAGAAAATAAATCATCATATAAAATATTCATATATCTGTAAAGTTTATAAGAATGCTAGTTAAGAGCAATCTTAAACCCGTACAGTTATAGAAAATACATATTAATTTGAATGTGATAATGTAAATACAGAATGAAAATACTCACTCTCGCACCCTTTTTATCACCCTCGGTCCTCACTCCTAATAAACGTTTTAATAAATAATACGAAATTTCCAGCTCGATGAATATTTGTGGCAATGCTCCGACACTTCCAAGAATTTGCCCAACTAGACGATCAGCACGACATAGAGTAGGCTCGATTTTGGTTCCAACACCTTAAAAAAATCACAATCTATTACTCTTACAAAACAATCAGAACTTATTGCGACTCTGTTCATATTAAAG